ACAGGCATCGAGGGTGTTGCATGCGTCATGGTTGCGGCCGAGACGCTGACGCACCAGGACTGCAGTGCGCTACCTACTTCCTTGTGGTTCCTGGTGGACCGACACATCCCTGTCGGGGCATTATGAGAGCGTGTGTTGGCTGGCGTCGAGCTCGTGTCGCCGAGACAATGAGCTCTTGGCCTACTATGCCGCCACGTGCTCAAGCAGCGTGCTAATCTCGTGGTGGGCCTGACGGTCCTCGGGCGTCGCAGCCTCTAGAAGGTCATGGAGCAAGGCCGTCGTGGCGGCGATGTTCTGGCTTGCCCAAGCGAAGCGAGGAAGGGCTTCATCCTGTACGATGATCCTCTGGTTCACGTCGAGAGCCATGGCGCGTGCGCGGCCACCGTCTCCGCGGCGCTCTATCTTCTGGTCAAGCTCTACGCATTCCTGCTTGAGCTAGAGTTGCGCTTCCTCAATCTCTTGGTGTCGGGCTTTCAGCTGCTCTACTGGCATGCATGGTGGGGCCGCTGTCTCCCTCTCGGCCTCATCACCGAGGTCGTTTGTTGGAGTGGCCTCCCCCTCATGGACGCTTTTGACGTGCCCCTCGGGGGTGCCCGCCATGAAGCATTCACAAAAGGGGTGATGGCTTCCCCTACTAGAGTCAGAGCCAGAGGGCGACCCTGGCTCCCCTGCTAGGAGGTCGTGAAAAGATTCCACGACGTGTTCGATCACCCCCACAAACTCATTGTTCACAGGGGATGGGATCATGTGTTGTGCCATAAGGCATTGCGGAGACCGAACGAAAGCACTGTCGGGGCGCTCCATGTGGTGTGTTCCGGAGAGAGGGTGAGGCGGTGCGGGTCCTCCCTGGATGATTGGGGTCCCAGGGAGACGCCGAGCTGGCGCTCAAGCCTCCCGTAGTTGAGGCCAATGGAGGGGAGAGGTTGGATGGTGGCGTGAGCCAATGCCAACTCTCCTCCCATCGTGACGATGAAGTCTAGGTCACCAAAGCGCACGTGTGCGCTCAGGACCCAGCTAATTCCATGGCTAGCCATCCGTGGCCTGATGTTAATGTCGGAACGCGCAAAGGTCCTCTACCTGGTGCGCCAACTGTCGGTGTTTCGAGTAAACACCAACGAGTAAATTTGTATTATTACACGTTTGGCCCGGATGGTGTACTAAAAAGACACAAGGTTTATACTGGTTCAGGCAGAATGTCTCTACGTCTAGTCCGTGGTTGCTGCTTGTGTTATTTGCACTGAAAGATTCGTAGTAGGGGGTACAAACGGGCGAGAGAGGGACATGTCCCAAGTCTCTGATGGAAAGGTCGAATGGGTGCTGAGAGGTTGGATGCTGCTTAGCTATGTGGTGTGATGTCTGTGGAAAATGATCCCTCCCCTTAGTGGGGTGTCCTACCTTCCCTTTTATAGACCAAGGGGAAGCAGGGATTACAGATGAGAGAAAGGAGAAAAAACATAGGCCAAGAAAGTCCTTCGAAGGTGCTGGGTCTTTCTTTCCCTTCGAGCTGGCCCTACTGACATAGCAGACGGTGCCAGGGATAGCTCCATGCTGAGCATCTGTCCGTTGATGATGCCATGCTCTGGTTTGATCAACAAGTGGTCACGTCCTATCCCGCCCCGATGGGCGGCACGACGGACCGGGGTGTCGATCCGCAACCCCACGGGGAGCGGACGGCGCAGTGATTGCACATCCATCACTGTAGAGGACACGAGTCTCCCCTTGGACCGTAGTGGTTGTCGTATGGTTCCGTCAGGATCCGTGCCTGAGGGCCAATGGCGACACCCACAACATTGTAAAACAAATGTCGGCGCCCACAACATTGTTCGGGCCCTGACATGCCCGAAAGGGCCTTAAAGCGCCCGTCTTGTCATATCCTATCGGTACTTTCCTGCAGGTGTGCAGGGTATGGTCCTCGGTATTAAGGTTGACTTAAGTGTCCTACCTTATCTGCGCGCGTAGTTATGAAGGAGCAGCGCGCAGACATTGGGCTAGGCGAAGCCAGTCCCTAGACGTCGAGCGAGGTAGAGTCTACCCTCGGATGTCGGGCGAGGCGGAGTCTGCAACCGTACGTCGGGCGAGGCGGAGCCTGTCCCCAGACATCGAGCGAGGCGGAGTCTGTCCTTGGATGTCGGGCGATGCGGAGTCTGCTCCCGGACGTCGGGAGAGGCAGAGTCTGCCCCCGTACGTCGGGCGAGGCGGAGCGATCCCCGACGTCGGGTGATGTGGTCTGCCTCAACGCCGGGCGAGCGTCTGAGTCTGCTCCCGAGCGTTGGGAGGCGGAGCTGCCCCGACGTCGGGCGAGGCGGTCGTCGCCCTCGGACATCGGGCGAGGCGGAGTCTGCCCCCGACGTCAAGCGGGCGGGGCTCCCCGGACGTTAGGCGGGCGAGTCTCCCCAGACGTCGCGCGGCGGAGTCCCTTCGACGTCGGGTGAGCGGTCTGTCCCCGGACATCGGGTGAAGTGGAGTCTGCCCCCAGACGTCGGGCGAGGCAGAGCCAGCCTTTGGGGGTCGGGTGAGGTGGAGCCAGCCCGACGCCGTGGAGGCGCGAGTCGGCCCCAGACGTCGCGGCGAGGCGGTCGGCCCCGGACGTCGGGCGAGGCGAGAGTCTGCCCGGACGTCGAGTCGAGCGCCGAATGTCGGGCGTCTGTCCGCCTCGGATGTCGGGCAAGCGAGTTCGCCCCGACGCGTCGGGCGAGGCGGTAATCTGCCGGACATCGGGTGAGGAGAGCAGCCCCCCCGACGGACGTCGGGGCGGGTGAGTCGACCGGACGGGTCGTCGGGCGGCGAGCCAACCTTTGGGGGTCGAACGGGGCGGAGTTAACCCTCAGTCGTTTGGACAAGAGGCGTAGTCGCGTTCTTGTATGTTCGGAAGCATCAACGTTTAATGGTTATTAGCTCCTCTTTGGGTACCCTAGTATTTGGTCCCCGACAAATAGTTTAGCAATTAATTTTATTTTGCTGTTGAACAATTTAACATGAGACATGAGATTAAGATCAATTACAAAATATAACAAAACATAAAGGGTGCTGGGGTTCGAGATGGCGCACACTTATGTGTGAAGCTGGAATCAATCACGTAGATAAACGGAGAACAGGAACAACGCAGGAACCCTAGGGAAGAGAATGAAGGAAGATGAAATCAATCCCGTCGAAAAAACGAAGCTAGGGTTTCATGGAGGAGCGAAGCACACGTGCGAAGTATGGGAGAGAGAGTGGAAGGTGAGGGAGAAACGGAGGTTAGAAGCAGGTGAAGGAGGGAGGAGGAGGAGGAGGGCGCCTGTCGCTGCCGTAGCCCACTCACACGCTCGGCGCCGTCGCCCCTGTCCGAGTTGGGAGGAAGAGGGAGAGAGAGTGAGAGAGAGAGAGAGAGAGAGAGGAGGGGAAAGAATCTGGAACGAGAAGCGAGGGCCGCGGTATATATTTGGTTCTCCGGATTCTGAAGAGAAGCGGGAGAAGCAGAGGAGAAATAGGAGAAGCTAACCAGAAACAGGAAAAACTGCTACATACGAGAATCGACTCCGAGCGATCAGAGGCACACGATGGAAGATCCAACGGCCGAAATTAATGGAGGTGACATGGAGTAGCGTTCTCTAGGGAAGCCCTACGGGTTTTCTAGGGGAGAAAGTCAGGTGTTAGTAGGCGGTTTTCTAGGGGAGAAAGTCAGGTGTTAGTAGGAGTACTATTGCCTTATTTTTTAAAAGAAAGAAAAGGAGTACTATCAAATTCGTCTACGCAAGCATATGCCCCGTAAATCCATAATGTATTCGACAACACATCTCAACCGTCAATAAACAAATCACCTATAAAATTGACGCCGTCAGCATTCAAATTCGATCATAATAACATCCACATATATCAATATGGACTCACATGTGTTTGGTTTGGAGATGAGAAGGGATGGGTTGAACCCAACCCTATTTTCTGGGATATGTTGAACCCATTTTTTGTTTGGTTTGAGGATTGGGTCTATTCTAAATTTTCTGTTTTGATTGAGGATTGGGTTGGATGAGATTGTCTCTCTACCACGCGGGACCGAATGCCATTCTCTGCACCTTTCTTCTTCCTTCCCATCCTCAATCCTTTGTCCGTGAGAGGTGATGCCGCAATTGCTCCCAAAAAATCGAAGCTCCCATGTGCCCAAGCACACCAGCACACAAGTCCTGCTTCCTGCTCCATGCCGCCGCTGCTGATTGCACACTGCTGCTGCTGGAGTACTCACGCTGCGAGGGGCTGCTGTTCCCGCCGCATCGTCGGCTACTTAGATTTCGCTCTAGGGTCGCTACTGCTCGAGGTCGGCCGGTCTTCACCTCATGGCAAGCGGCAGCAACTGACGCGAAAGCAAAGATGGCCGGGCAAGGGCTCCACCAAGACGAGGTCGCCAGCGACCACGCCTCTCATGTGGCCGCCGCTTCTCAAACACATGGGTCGCCGCGGCCTCGACTCTTGCCTTCCTCGCGGACCGCATCCGCCGCCTGTGACGCTACGCTCTTGCTCCTCTCGGTCGGCCGCCGCCATGTTTCGCCTCGCCAAAGACGGCCCGCTCTCAGCCACCGCCATGACGGTCTCCTGTAAACGCAAGCGAGCGAACTGGGTCGCGTGGTCGTCTCGATTTGGAGGGACGAGACAGACCCACATCTAGAAGCATATTCTCCTATTGGGTTAGATCCCGTTTTACTCGACCCTTAACCAAACACCAGATTATCTGGGTCGAAAACCGGGATATCACACCTCGACCCCCAATCAAACACACGGCTAGAGGAGACGGGTGAACGTGAGACTCCTCTACCCGGAACACAACGCAACCCTACTAGGCAAATCGCTTTCCCAAAGCCGAATCCCTTTCGGCCGCGCCCGTCCCCACCCCCACGTCTCTCAACTTTATAGCCGCCCCCTCCCCACCGCCTGCCGCCACGCACAGCAGCAACCGGTAGCAGGAGCGCAGCCAGCAAGCGCAGGCCCCGAGCTCTACTGCAACCGCCGACGCCACCGCGCCGAACGCCATGGCCGACCCGGCGGAGCACCGTCCTGCGGAGGAGGAGGAGGAGGAGGAGGCCGCGGCGGCCGGCGAGGACGAGGACACCGGCGCCCAGGTCGCGCCCATCGTAAAACTGGAGGAGGTCGCCGTGACCACCGGAGAGGAGGACGAGGACGTGCTCCTCGACATGTGAGTCATCTACGGCCTCTTCGATCCTCCCCATCCCCGATCCGCCCCGATCCGATTTGGCTAGGTCTTGTTGATCTGACGACGTGTGGCGATTGTGCAGGAAGGCGAAGCTTTACCGGTTCGACAAGGAGGGGAACCAGTGGAAAGAGCGCGGAACAGGCACTGTGAAGCTGCTCAAGCATAAGGAGACCGCCAAGGTCCGCCTAGTCATGCGCCAGGCGAAGACGCTTAAGATCTGCGCCAATCATCTTGGTAATCACGGTCTTTTTGTGGGATTTTCGTTGGCGATTTCGATCTGGCTGGATAGGTTTTGACATTGGAGAGTATTGCTTACCCCTTTTCCCCGTACGCACAGTGGTGGCGACGATTAAGATGCAGGAGCACGCGGGGAGCGACAAGTCGTGCGTATGGCACGCTCTGGACTTTGCCGACGGCGAGCTCAAGGAGGAGATGTTCGCTATCCGTTTTGGATCTGTGGAGAGTGAGCACCTAGAACCATATCTTACCTCTTTATCCCTCCTTGCATCTGTTCATTATAGCCAGCAGCTTGCACTGTCATAATGTTTGGTACCTTTGTTGATTGAACTGGTTATTGTTGTTTTGGCTTAATTTTGTCTTAAGAAAAGTTGATCGATCACTGGCCTATGGATCTATGAATTATGTGATAAGCTAAGTTTGTTGGATGTGATTTATATGTTGTATTTGTTTTTGATATATGTTGTTCGGTGACCCTCCTTGATATTATGAATGCCCCAGCAATTCTTAGTTGTATCGTACTGGGCTTCTAACTCAAAGTGCTGTCCTCATAACAATCATCAATAAAGCTTCATGTTTCCTGTTTCCATGATATAGTTTTGTTTCGCATTTGCCTATATATCTTCCTGATCTTAGAATTTATTTCTGTATTTCTGGCATTCTACTCTTGGTGCAGTCACAGAATGTCTGCTGTTCTTCAAGTATTTCAAGTTATTTCCAATGTGGGAGAATACTTGTACTCAAAGCAAAAACATATTTTATTTCCATCGATCACGATAGAACCTATTTTCTTTATCCAGACAAGACAAACACTCTAAATTTAGCGAACTGCTACTTTGGTCTCTAAACTTGAATAGCAAAAGTGCCAAGTTGGAAATGGTCTGAGACTGAGCTAATTTTGATCGCCGTTGGACCTTTTGTTGCCATGTGTCGTGTATATCTAGCAGTACTTTTGTGATGACATTTAGCAGCCATGCCGTTACTTCTTTGCTAATTATTTGCTGCGTTAGCATGCATGCATGTTACTCACGTACTGCCACATGCATCATGAATAACTGATTAATTTTGCACACTCAGGTGCCAGGCTATTGAGGTTAATGTGGCTGCTCAACGCACAATGAATAATTAACTTTTATTTCACACTTCCATTCAGCTACCACATCTATTGGTTAGCCTACACACGACCTTCATGTTTATAGGACCATAGTAGCAGTATACTCCAAGGACCTAACAATTTAGTTTCCAGGGATCTTGGCAGCTTTTCCCTTTGTTAGAAGTGCATCAGGTGCTTGCTTGCTTATATTGAGACATATGTGCGGGATGATGATATGTATCATGCTTGTATTGTTGGAAATTTTGTTTGATATCTACAAATATCTGACATATCATCAGCGTTGTAGTTTAGGTATTGATTGCTATTTTAGTTATATTCCAGTCTCAAAACAAATCAACTTCTAGAGTTATCGTAAGTCAAACTATTTAAGTTTGTCCAACTTTATAGAAAAGAACACTAACATGTATGACATCAAATAAGTATGTATATTATGAAAAACATATTTCATGGTGTATCTAATTTAATAATATGAATTTGGTGTCTTAAACATTGGTGCGCTTTTTGATGAATTTTGTCAAACCTAAAAAACGTTTTAACTTTGGACAACTTAAGAAGTTGGAAGCAAGAAAGTGTTCTTTTATACTTTTGATGATAATTTCAATTGTGGTGTTAGGTTGGGTTTACTTTTGTTTCTTTCTGAGATGTCGATTGCTATTGAATGATGATAGTATGACAATTTTATATTTTTGGCATCCTTGTTTATTTTGAATTTGCTGGTTACTCTCTTGCGATTCTATTCAGATTGCAAGAAGTTTAAGGATATTGTTGAAGAGATAGCTGAACAGCAAGGAAAGACTGAGGAGAAAGAAAATGAGGAAGCCTCCACTGCCGCTGATTTGGTACAGAAGTTAACGGTGACAGAGGCCAGCAAGGAGGAAACTGCGGAGAAAGAGGAGGCTCCAGCATCTGATGATAAAAAAGGATGCTAAAGATTGAAGGCGTTTATATACGCAAACCAGGGTCAAATGAGTATCCTTCCATTCATTTTGTTGTCAAGGTTCATCTTCCCTCCACAAATTTTCATTGTGTTTTCTCTGGGATGAATGCTTGTGTTAGGTGAAATCAGAGTCATCAGTCATCTACATGGTTTTCTTGGTTAATAGACTGTTATTTTTGAAGTCGTCTGTTTATCTGGGATGGCTGGAGTCAGCTTGTCTGTACAATTATTTGGAGTTGTTTTTGGAACGGACGCGGTTTGATGAGTTGCCTAAAAGTTTGAAATGGTGGTGATGTCTTCTCGCACCACTTCTCTTATTCATCTCCTGTGCATATCTTCTTGCCAAGCCATCCACATAGGCCTGTTCATGGTTTGGTTCCGCCAAATAAGGCAGACCAAACTGCAAAGCTGGTTTCAGGCGGATATATTTGACCCGTCGACAAAACCTCCCGCCTCCTTCCTCTTCGATCTGTAGTCAGCATGGGTAGTGGTTACGCGCTCACTCTCGCACCAGGCCGCGGCGCTCGCCTTCGCCTTCGCTGGAGCCGGAGCCGAGCCGAGCAGCCGGTGCTACATCCAGTATCAGCAGCTCCCGTCGCCCCTTGGCACGTGGCACTCGCTTTCGCCGGAGTTGAAGCACGGGCTCGCCGCATTGTGCTCTCCGCGAGAACCGGAGCCACAGCAGAGCAGCCCGTGCCACATCCAGCATCAGTGCATCAGTTGTGATCCGTTCCATGGGCTGAGATTGATGCGCGTTGTAGCGCGAGTACACATGTTTTCAGCGCGAATATGTGATACCGGTAGCCACACATTGATGGCGGTGGTTGCGCGCGCCTTACGACGGGCAAGAATGGCACGGCCCAACGGGATGCCGGTGCTTCCCAGCGGCTGCTTCAGCAAGGGAATTTTGCGATCCACGTACGTGCGTCGTGCGGTACGGACAGACCCGATCTGAAGAAATTTTTGGCAATTTGCGTACACAACGAGCCCCTCTCTGAAACGGGAACAAAATCTTTGTGCTGCAAAGATCTCAGAACCACGCATTCACGCGCTGCTGTGGGAGCCTGCGACTCTGCTGTCTGCTCTGCTTCGGCGTGGTACTACTAGTACCTGGCATTTTGCCAGCTGCATTTCCTGAAAAGAATAGAATCCATCGTTTTGCCGTTCTGCAGATCCAATCCAGACCACCATGGCAATGGCAACATGGAAATACACTTTCGCAATCCCAGAATAAGCGTGCTGTTTTTCTTTTCTTCCTTTTTTACCCCTAGCGAGTAAGTAGTATAGTAAAGTACTGTTTAGTCAGCTTGTGAGTACTGAGCAATAGCATTTCTGAGAAAAGAAATGCTAGTTTGCCCTGAGGGACGAGTTGAGATTGTGCCGATACGCGCCGGCGCTGACGGCTGATCAATCGATCATGGCCGGCCACCCACCCGATCAAAGAACGCACGCAAAACGCAAACGGCATGCAAAGCTCAGGTCATTGGCTGCTTGATTTGACACAAATTTGAGATTGAATTGAATTGAATTTGAGTGGACAAAGGGAACAACAGTACATGGTACTAGCACAGGTACAACGTCCAACGGCGGCCAGCCGAGTCCTGCTCCTACCACCCCAAACCCGCATTTATACCGACAGATGTGACTGTGACAACCAGGACGGCCATGGCCACAGCGGAGACCGCTGCCGCTGCTGCCGACGACGAGGACGAGACGAGGACGGCCATCGGAGAAGGCGGCGGCGCTGGGTACGACGAGCGCACTTGCGTAAGTTGCGTTGCCATTTCTTGGCGCCTCGGAACTGGGAGGTGGAGGTGGGGCCCGGGTGTCGGCTGCCCAGGTGGCCCCGGTTCCCCACTCCACTTCCTCCCAGTCCCAACTAGTCCGCGGCCCGTTTGAGGCCAATTCGGCGACCCGCCCCTTGGCGCGCGCCATGACCTCGTGCTTGCTCTCGGTCTCCGCGTCGTCCAGCGCCTCGGAGTCCGAATCCGACGACGGGGCCCAGTCGAGGACCGCGCGAGGCGACGGAGATGGAAACGGGGACGGGGATGGCCACGGCTTGCTGGCATCGTCGCCAGCGTCCGTGGAAAGGAACGGGTGGCGCAGCAGCTGCTCGCAGCTCCACCGCTGGGCGGCGTCGCGGCGGAGGCACTTGTCGAGGAAATCGCGGCACGCGTCCGACAGGCACGCGGGGATCGCGGGGCGCTTCCCGCCGAACCCGACGAGGAGCAGCAGCTCGCCGACCTCGCTGGCGCCGCCGAGCTCCGACCACGGGCGCTTCCCCGTGAGCAGCTCGAGCGCGGTGCAGCCCAGGGACCAGACGTCCGACGCCGGCGTCGCCGCGCCGCCGCGCGCGACCTCCGGAGCCATCCACGCGGGCGTCCCGCGCGGCCCGCGGGGCGTCGTCGCGGCGTCGGAGACCAGCCTCGCCGCGCCGAAGTCAGCGAGCTTCGCGCCGCAGCAGCCTTGGGCGTCGCGGCAGCCGAGCACGTTCCGGCCCTTGACGTCCCCGTGCACGACGCCGGCCTCCTCGTGCAGGTACCGCAGCGCGGCGGCCACGCTCCGCAGGACGCCGCGTGCGCCGCGCTCCCCGAGGCCCCCGTGCGCCGCCGCCTCCGCGGCGCTGCCGCCGGGCACGAGCTCCATGTGCAGGTTCCTCGTCGCCCCCGTGGCGCCGTCGTCGCCGAGGTACGCCACCACGTGGGGCGAGCTCAGCCGCTTCAGGATCCTTATCTCGCTCTCCAGGCACGCCATGGCCGCAGCCGGCGCGCTCTTCGCGTCCACCGACTTCACCGCGAAGGCGCGGCCCGTGGCCGTGTCCACGGCGAGGTGCACCGTGCCGAAGGCGCCCTTGCCGATGCATTTCCCGCGCAGCCACTCCATGTCCGAGCGTCTTCTTTGAATTGAAATTGGAGCAGAGCCGACGAGTGGGAGGAACAGAGTGGGACAGTGAGAGGTGTGGAGGATGAGTGAATTGCGAAAGGAGAGGAATGCAAGCAACGGGGGAGTGTGCCGAGGGCGCTTATATAGTGTGGGGTTCCGGCGCCCTGCAATTTGTGTGGGCAAGGGTTTCAGCCTGGGAATTTCGTTTTCTTCCCCCTTTTTTCCCCTCTCTCGTTGGCCTGTCCTTTGCTGGGATGTCATGGGGGGAGTAAACCGGCGGGGTCTTGGTTTTCCGTAGGGGAGAGAAACAGAGAGGACGCTGTGCAACTTGTGATGTACCGCTGCGTTGAGGCCACATGGGCGAAGATTTGGGATGAGTTTGATGGGGTTTCCCCCTGGATACATGGATGGATGACATTTACTCGCAAGGCTTCCTCACCGGTTAGGCCGAGTAAAGGCTGTCACTATATGCTTTGTTCTATGGTATGTCGTATGGTATTGGTAGATTAAGTTCACCGCAGTTATTTTCTTTTGACGGTCACCAGCTATGCTTGGCAGTAACAGTGCACAGTATATTGAACTGATCATACATGTGTGTTTTTCTCCAAATATGATTAATCACTCTATCCCATAAAAGTATCATCCTCACTTCCCAAAGGCCAAACATTTTTTAATTTGACCAAATATATAATATATATAAGAAAATATTAGTATTTTTAGTACATAATTAGTATCACTCGATAGGTCATTAGATATATTTTTATAATGAACCTATTTATATAGATACAAATATTTTTTACAAACCTAGTCAAACTTAGAAAAGTTTGACCAGCACGAATCTTGAATCACATAGTGACTCTTTTTATGGATGAAGAGAGTACTTTCACGCACCTCATATCCTTCATGTGCATAAAATCTTGATGATTTGGTCGAAAACCGGGGAGAAGTTTGGTTCCCAGGGTAAGATTACTTTACCTTACCTAATCCTAGAAACTTCGGCGTAAGTTTGAACGATTACTTTACCTTTTTTCCTAACCCAACCAAATGCCAGTGATAAATAATCCAATCGTTTCACTTGCCTGGGCTAGGCTAGGACAGCCATTTTGGCTCACCATTGGTAGCAAGGTGAAAGGTCAGTAATTCTTGGTAGCACGAAAACCGAGAAAAGATAACCAAATATCCAAACACACCAGCAACATTAAATCCTTGCTCAACAATAGTAGACAAGATTTGGATGAGGAATCAAACACCCCCTGAAGAACTTGGTAATGGCGAGTGGTAGTATGGATGGTTTTGGGTTTCGAGGTTTTAAGGTAGCGAGGCTAGATGTGGGCTACCAACATTAGAAAAAGGGCGTTGGGGGTGGTTGGATCGACAAAGGAGGTGGGCATTAGGCGAAACGCTAGATGGCCTCCATCGACCACCGGTGGCGAAGGCCGACAATTACACGGCGCCATCGACGGGGAGTCACAAAATAAAGTAGTTGGTGAAGAAGGTCGGTGACGGGATCACGATAAGGATGATAACAAGGGAGTAGAAGGTCGAGGAGCGTGTTATGGATAGAGATATGTGGAGGGACAACACTGGTGATGGTAGCACAGTGGCTAGCAGTAGGAACAGTTTGTTACTCGCGCCATTACCACGTTAGTTCTGAAGCATCATCTACTGTAGCATCCCCTTACATTCAACTCTGAAGCAAAAAAAAATTTGACGTCGGCCACCGTATATCTGCTAGAGACTGAGTGCCTGTTTAGTTCTCAAAATTTTTCAAGATTTTCCGTCACATCGAATATTTGGACGCATGCATGAAGCATTAAATATAAATAAAAAATAAAACTAATTACACAGTTTAGATAAAATTCACGAGACGAATCTTTTAAGCCTAATTAGACTATGATTGGACACTAATTGCCAAATAACAATAAAAGTGCTATAATATCGTTTTCAAAAAAATTCGCCAACTCAACCAGGCCTGAGAACGGATTTACATGTCTGGTTCATCCGGTGTCAGGGCCAACCGAAGGTACAGAAAGCGGAGATCTTCATAAGCACCAGCACGTCTAGCTACCCGCATCTGAGATGGATTCCGCGCCTGCGCTAGCATCCAAAACACCAGTGGAGCTTTGCTGCCCCAAAAAAAATATTTTCAATCCGTGAAGCGTCCATATCACTATCACCATTATCTAGTAGAGGATAAAATTATTGTTGCCAGAACGTGGCGAACCACACCACCGAAATGCCGATCTCTGCTCCTCATCTCATCGGGCCTCTCGCTCGTCCCGTACACCCGTGCCGCCAACGTGGCAGGGTCGGGCCCGCGTGGCCGCGATGACATGGCAGGGGCCACTCGTGGCCCAGGTGGTTCGCCCGGCCGCGAGCCAAAAAAGATCAGGCAGGGAAAGAAAGGAAGAAATTGGAAAAGCAGGGCCGGCAAAGTAGTGGCCTGCGGCGGTACGAGAGCGAGGTGTGAGGCTCGGACCGGCGCCGCATTTATCGCGCGGATCGCCATCCGGCGCCCCCGGGCCCGGGCCCGACTCCGTTCCGCCGCTACTGGTGGGCACACTGGTACGGGGCACGGGCGCCGCCGCGGTGGGGTGGGCGGACGTGCGCGCCGCCGAGCCACACAGACAATCGCGGAGGCGAACCGCGGAACCCCGCGGCCCGCTCGGCGGCTCCTCAACGTACGTAGGCGCCGATCGCCGTCGCTAAACAACGTGTGGCCCTGGCCTGGGAAACGTGCGTGACTCGCATCGCAGGTCGCGGGCTCTTTTCTCCTTTGCATGTTTGGACGAGCGACGCCCACCGCCACCGGCCCGTGGCCCGTGCCCCCCGAGCGAGGTTGTTCGATTCGACGGCGCTGGTGGCACGTCTCATGAAATCGCCAACGTGCGTAGGTAGGCAGTAGTATCAGCAGTTCTCCAATCATGCGGTTGTAAAGCATACACACGCACCTAACGGAAATTCACGTTTGCAAAAAAATTTCGCAGCTGAGTACGGACACTGGCCATCGTTGGTGGAGTAGCAACGTCCCACGAACCGAACAATAATTCACACGGTTGATTGGAAAGAACATAATTCGGCCTCTGTGTGTTAGTCTGAGGGACACGCAGTTCACTCGATCCATTTGTAAAGTGGGCACACCGATCCCGCGCAAGCTTACATTACATTACATGGACTCCTTGCGCCGATCCTAGCGTTGGTGTGCACACACATATTGGCACGATATATGCCGGGGCATGTGCCCAAGCCCAACATGAGGCCGGCGTTGGTGCATCGTATCGCCTATATATCTACGGATCTCGAAGATTCGGGCCGTGCTATGCATGCAACGGTTCAAAATTATTACAGGCATATCCAATTCCAGCCGATGGACCCAAACACCGGTGGCTAAAAAGATGCCTAGAGGGATCGGGAGGCATTCATTCGCGGCTCGTGGTATCTTTTTTTCCGCTAGTTGCAGGGTTAGTTGATGCGTGAGACCAACCTCCCCATGCTGGCTGGCCGTGTGGGATAAGATCCGCGCTTGATTCTTGTTGTATGGTGGTACGTGCTGGCGTCAAGCAAAAGCAGCACTAGATCGCCGATCGCCCAAGATTCAATCCAGGCCGGGTTCCCCGTTCGTGCCGCTTGCAACATGAGGGAAGCTACGAGGACTGGAGGAGGAGGCCTGTTACAGATTTCACTTGGTCTCGATCTCACTCAACTTTGAAGTCCTTGTATGTACGCCATCGCGAGACCTATTCTCAAGCTTGCCAGGCTAGATACCGTCCTAATTTTGGGGTGTGCTTCCTGATAATCAGGCTTCCTGATAATCAGCATGTTCATTGGTTTTTGGTTTAAATTTAAACCAAACAAATAACCAATAGTGTTTTCTCAAAAACCAAGACCAAAGTAGGTAAATTTCAAACCAAGACCAAAGACCAACCAGGTCCAAACCAAAGACCAAAAGACCAACCAAAGAAACAGGTCCATTGTAATCTACTCCTCCATCTTGCTAGAATCTGGGAAAAGGCAGGCCCCACAAGTTGCGAGCACTTCCCTGGTCAAAATCCTTTTCGGCATCGCTTTCTGGAGGAGCTGCCGGAGGAGCCGCAAAAAGGCGCTTACTTATTACTGATTTATTTAACTGGCTAACCCAGGGCAGGCACAGCTGTTTTGATGATTAAACAAACAGGCCTTGTGTCTGGGCAAGTGAGACGCATGGGATGCACCCACCCACGACCCCGCGCGGCCCAGGTTCTCAGCACGATCGATCGATCCCAACCCAACGCAGCCAGGATACGGTGAACTGGACCAGGCAAAACGACGGGATGAGCAGGCAGACTGCATGACTAGTCCTTCCCACGACGGAGACACGGACGAGTCAAAAATCCTTCCCGGCCGGAGTCGGCACGATGCGAACATCCACCGCACCCCGCACGCATGCGCCGACCGCTGGGGTTGTTCCTGCCGGCACGGTGCCGCAGCCGACGGATGGGCCAAGAGGCCAGAAGCATGAGAACCCGCGGGCTTGTCCCCGTGAAACGCGAAAAACGTTGCACCTGCGCGCGGCGCCGGGCGGAGTGGCGGACGCCGGACGGACCGCCCACGGCGTCGGCGTGAGCGAGGGGAGTGGATGCACGTGGACCAGGCAGCGTGAGCAAGCGACGCTGTGGCCGGAACCGAATGGAATGGCTGGACTGGATGGATGCATGAGCCGCCCCCGCCCAGGACTGTCGCGGCGGGGTGTCGTGGGAGAATTTTTTTTATTTTTAACATTCCATGTAAATTAATTTTAAATCTAACATTATTTTAGTTTTTTTTTAAAACTAACACTTTTGCCCGTGTCTATTTTTCTGCGCCGCGCCATGCATGATGGTGGCGCGGCGAGAAGGATGACGTGGCGACGACCGGGGCGTTGACCGGTGACGTGGCAGGTTCTGACGCGCCATAGCCCACGGCGCGGCAGGACCTGGACGCGAAAAAAGCCGACCAACCTCGATTGCAATTGAACGGGAGCT